AACCCCGCACCCAACCCCCCCCCCCCCCCCACAAAAATAAAAGAAGAAGAAGAAGAAGAAGAAAAAACACGGCACCTGGAATCACCCTGCACCATCACACACAGTCTCGCCAGCACCCTGGTCGCCAACTCGAGAATCAAGAAGTGAGAGCCCCTAAGCCTCTAGCCCAGCGTTGATATGTTCATGCGAATCGGTCATGCAACTGTAAGCAATGAGGTAAATGGCAACGGGCGCGCCCACAAGAAACAACATCAAGCCCTCAAAAATGCTTGGTGGACACAAGTCCCCATACTTTCTCCCTTTGGCTCAGAGCAAGTCCTGACTCCTAAGTGATGGCAACCATATCTTTGTCTTGTATCGGAGCTGGCACGGTTCGTATCTCAACCCCTCTTGGCAACTCTTCATCCCTTGTGATATTGCCAACAAAAAATACACCTGCGTAGACCCCAAATAGCGAAAAAACATGCTGACCATTGCGCTCCAGCACCTCGTCACTAGCACCGCCAACAGCACCCCAAACAGCCCGCACCGGCACCGAAAACAGCCCCCCAAAGCATCAATCACCAGCACACCAAACTGCACGTCCCCCAACACCAGCCCACCCAATCGCGTGAATCACGTCCCCCTCCGCACCAGAACTCAGAACCCCCATATATTTTTCAGCCTTCGGGGGGGGGGGGGGGAGGGGGGAGAAAACATGCCCGTCTTGTTCCGACCCGAGCCGTCCACCGCCGCCCCTTGCCAGGCGTCGCCCCCGCCGCGCGCCGGCGGCCCCTTGGCGTCCAGAAGCTCATGCCGGCACGGGCCGTCCAGGATGGGCTGCTGCAGCCGGGGGGCCACCACCACCGTCTCGGCGAGCCGAGGGATGGCGGGAAAGGTCCCCGGCTTGGAGCTCGAGGCTTTCCCCCCCCCCCCCCGGCGCTGTTTCTGTTTTGCTCTTTGTTTGTTATATATATATATATATAACTGTATTCTTGTCAGAACCCCCAGAAACTGCTAGAAGTGTTTTCATAGCATACGGTCAGTGGCGCCAGTCCAATTCGGTTTGTTGGTCCAATCCGTTTCCGAAGGCCCGCTCGCGCGCATGCGTGCACCTCTACGCATCTGAGTTTAAAGTATCTATGCAAGCGCGGTCAGATCTTTCTGCATGTCCTAAAACTGCAGAGGTGCAGAGTTCCTCTCACTTAAGCCTGTCGAAGAAAGTGTGGCTTGTGTTGTGGCTTCCATTGAGCAACTCCCCCCCCATCCAAACAGAAAATGGCACCCTCACATGGAAAAGACGTCCTTTCTTTGTGCCTACGCGCTGCGCGCGTTTTGGAGCACGCGGACTTGCGGCGAGCCCAGGCCTCAGGGTGGTAGGAGGGGGCGACCCGCTCCAGCGCCTGCGCATGGAGCAGCTGCGTCTTGGCCGCGGTGACCGCCATCAGGCGCCTTCTTTGAAGGCCATGGCACCCACCGCGCGCCTAACGGCCTTCAGCCAGACGCAGCCGGGGCCGGCCTCCCGCCTCCCGCCTCAACGTGGCCCGTGGCGTCATCCCAACGCGGCACGCGGGGAGCCCAAGGGACAGGAGGCACATGCGGTTGCCCGCGGTCACCGGACAAAAACGCTCTTCCGGAGTGCCCTGCCTGCCTGCCCGCTGAGCACGATGCCCAGGGTGATGCCCAAGTTGGAGCCAACAATGCAGACCTCGGCAGAATTCCAAATCGCTCTCCGAGAAAGGCCAGTGAAATGCCGACCGGGGGAGCTTTTGCTTTGGCCATGTTTCACCTTGTGTTGGACAAAGCTGCCATGGGTTTACATACAGCCTCTGCCAGTGCGTGCATTTTCTGCACGTGGTGTAGAACTCTTGTGGATTCCACTTCATTGTTGAACTCGTGTGGCTTCAACAATCCAAAGGCAGACACAAAGCAGAAGAGGCCAGCGAAAAATGGCCATGACGAGCCAGCAATGCCGGGCTTCCTGCGGCTCCTTGCTACAGGTTAGCACACCGGCCCTCTGCCAGACCCAGTTTGGAGCCCAACTTCGCATCGATGTCCCGGAGCCGGCGCTCAGTGAACTCCATGAACTCCGTAAATACTTGCTGGTTCCTCCAGGGGCCTGGATTTCCCCGCGCACCCCCGCACACTGAATAACTGAATAGTGCACACTCACAAGATCTAATTAATTTTACCATGCTCACGGGGCAAGCAACCAGGGATGTACATAAGGCTGGGTCGGCCTGGTGCTTTCCCTTGCATCTGTTTGTGGAGGAGACAACCCTGTCCTCTTGATGTCATGTTGCACAGTCCGCACATCAATCGCCGTCGCAGGACCTCTAATCCCCATGAGGCCCTTGATGAACTCGTCGATCTCGATGGTCCCGTTCCCATCGATGTCCAGGAGCCGGAAGACGGTCCAGGCGTGCATGGCCGAGATGTTGAGGTGGGTAAAGAATGCCTGCTGCCGCTCATCCAAGAGAAACGCCTCCAGCTCGCTGAGGGTGATGAACCCGGACTTGTCCGCATCTATGGAATGGAAGATGTCTTTGAACAACTTCTCATAGACCTCCTTGTCACGCAGCTGCTCTTGAACCAGCTCCTCCTTGTCGGACTGCGCCATATCTATCGCATGCTCGCAGAAGAAGCCCGTGATCACGTTCTGCAGCGCAAATAACATCAGGCACTGGTAGACCATCAAGAGAACCACATAGAAGCCGTCCACCTGCAACAGAGACTCAGCCGGCTCGCCCCAGTTCACACCACTGGACATGCTCTTGAACAAGGTGAACACGGCCGCCCTGACCGAGCCCCAGTCGTCATGGAGACTGTCGGCGTATGGGGAGCTGGGGGTCTTCAGCAAGTGGTGGGAGGCAGCCTCTGCGATGACCAGCGCAAAGATGTAGATGATGACCAGCATCAGCACCAAGCTCCAGAGAAGCGCTGAGATGGTGTGCAGCATGGTAATGATCATGGCCTGCAGCGCTTCCGCTTGGAAGGCCGAAGCAAAAAAAATCGGATACTCGGTGCCCAAGCCGCTCAAGCCTTAAGGAAATAACAGATGTTCGGCCCTGGATCGGCTTTGGCCTAAGATCTTGTCTTTCATTTTGCCCCCTTTCGGCACCCGGCCTTCAGCTGCCGCACAAATCGGAAGAGCCGCAGGATCCTCCAAAGGTTGAGGCCAAAGTTGAGCACACGCCCATGGGCCCGTGTCTCTTCAAAAACAGAAAGGGAGTTCGGTCAGCACCTATCATCTGGGCTGTCCGTTTTCCAGATCCCCTGCTTCAAGCGGATCAAATGAAAACCACCCTAAAAAAACCTAAAACAATGAAAGTAATAATAATGACTATAATAATAAAACAAAAACAAAAATGCCATACGAGAAAGATATTTAAATCCGCCCACGCAACCCAAAAAAACAGGAGAAAAAAAACGAACGCCCGCCCCCAAAGCCGTCTCTCCTCACCGCCCGGATGATGCGCACCGTGCGCGCGGAGAGCAGCACCGCGCTGGAGGAGGCCTCCGAGTCTGTGGCGGTGTGCAGGGCCTCCCCCACGGAGGAGAAGACCACCAGGAAGTCGAAGGAGTTCCAGGGCCACCTGAGTCACTTGCTCAAAACCGATTCGGTACTAAAATGGGCGACCCAGAGCCATGTAAAGAATTCAGAAGGCGGCCGCAGCTATTTAGGCCGGGACTGCTCCTTACTAACCTTCATCTACCCGGGTTTTGATTGTGGCTCACCTGAAAATTTACTTTCAGCGCGAGAAGCGCTAATTACTGAGGTGTTTTTTTAATGGGGTAGGGGTCCACTCTCCGGGATCAAGAGCAACATGGCCATGGGCTTTTCAAAATCCAAAACTCCGGTTAGCCCCAGTGAACTTCCCAATCCAACGCCTGAAATGGGTGGTGAATTCACCTACCCCAAAATGGTACCATTGGTTTTGACCTACAGCCACCCGGGATCTCTCTCTCTCTCTCGCTATCAAAAAGCCCACCAGGGCAAAACCCAGGAGCGAAACAAGCAAAAAGAAGGAAAGTCAAATGAGTCACTTGACATCAAAAACCATACGCTATGGCATTGGCCACCTGAGGTCACTTGATCCAACAGGAAATATTGAAACGGCCTAAATCCATGGTAAGGAAATCGAAAGGGCTGGGAGGGTGTCTTTTGGGGATGTCTTCAACCGTCTGAGTCACTTGATATCAAAACATCCATAGGCTATGGCATGCTAGGGGCTATGATCAAAACCTAAATGCATGAGTCACACGCAATCAAAACCCGACAAGGTAGTAACACCGGCTCAAAATGTATGGTAAGCAAATCGAAAGGCCTGTAGGTGAGGGAGTGGGAAGGCGTCAGAGGAATTCCAGGGCCACCTAACGTCTCTCTCTCTCTCCCTCTCGCAATCAAAACCCACCTGAGCAATCGAAACCCATGGGTGAAACAAGCAACCTCGGAAAGTGACATGAGTTACTTGCAATCAAAACCGATAGGTATTAAAATGGCCTAAGTCCATGTAAGGCTCCCAACCTTCACCTACCCGGGTTTTGATTGTGGCTCACCCGGACTGATAACCAAACTGCTGATGAAATGCCTGGAACCGACGGATTCATCAGAAGGACCACACTCATCAATCAGGGGCCGTTTTTTCTCTTCGCTGCCGCTCAGGGGAACTTCTCCCCTGAGCTAACCCCCCCCCCTTTTCCGAGCAATCCGCATCACTTCGCACCGCGGCGCTCCGAGCAGGTGAAGAAGTGCCGTCCGAAGGCGGCGAAGCGCAGCAGGAGCTCCAGCAGGAAGCAGCCCAAGAAGCCCAGGCCCAGGACCTCCATCCAGCGCGGGGCCTGCAGCACCTGGTGGTGTCCGGCGTTTTCGCCGATGCTTCCCCAAAAAAAAAACCGCGTGGAGTGGGGGGGATGCTTCCACCACAGACTGCGTGGAGGGAGTGGGGGGATTTCGACTTTTGGGAAGCCAAAAGGAAGCTGACTGGTGGATGTTACAAAGCACAAGGGGGCATAGGGCGGAAGCTCAAAGAAAACCGCTGCATGCCCAAAGGCCATGGAACCAGAGAGCCAAGACATGGCTTCAGGCAGCTTTCCAAAGGCTCGTGGCTCGTGGCGGCTGGCTCGTGCCTCGCCGGGGCCTATTCATTCGGCGCCCCCTGTCTTGAGAGACCGCTCCGAAAAGCTGACAAGTGCTCAGCGACATCTCAAGAGATCTCCCAAACAAGCGAACTTCATCCCTGGCGCACCTGATTCACGGCGCAGTGCTCCACCTTCACACCAGTCAGCACTCCGTTCAAAACAATGAGGAGCCCGAAAAGCATCTCGAAGCGGTGGTCGTGAACCAGCCAGTGGCAAAACCAAGAGAACCTTGAGCAAGCCGGAAGATTCTGGGACAGGTCCTCTGAGCCCATGCGCATGCTAGCCTGAGCAGTGCCCCAGATGACGGCATGCATGAAGGCAATTGCAGGCTGCTCCCTCACAGGAAAAACACGTACTCACTGTACTCACAACAAAACAGGACGTGGGCCGACGTGAGCAAACGAAACAGCTGGCGTTCAAGAAGAACCAAGCCACAACAAAAAACACATCTGGCATGTCAGAATTCCCTTCATAGGAACCCTATTTCTCAAAAACGGGACCCCAAAATGGGTAGGTTTCCTGCTTCCCAAAAAAACGCACCAACAAAAGATCCACCATGTTGAGACTAAGACCCAAAGCAGCTGACCTTTCGCAGCAACCCTGCCTAAGACCCCACTGAAGGGGCTTTTATGGCCCTGCCCAAAGGTCTTTGGGATCGACGCCTGCTTCCTCTCTGCCTGCGCCAACTTCGCGCGGAGCTTCTTCTCCGCGAAGGCGTCGGACAGCTCCCAGCGGCTGCCAACGTTGGAGACGCAGGTGTTCGCCGTGTCCTAATGTTCAGAATGCCAAAAGGAAGTGGGTATGGGCGGGTGTTTGCCGGCAAGATCGGGCCATTCCGAAAAAGTAAGCGTTTTCCTGTTGCATGCTGCGTTGGCTTGCTTTTTTGTGGAGGGAACGATTCTCAAGACAAAGACTAGTTCTCGTCCTAAGCGCACCCAAGTCTCAGTCTTCAGCACCCGCAGGTGGTGGTGTCGCTTGTCGGAGCCTTGGAAGTCAATCTTCTGATGGCCCCGCACGCGGTTGGACGGCGAACCCGACTGCCCAGAATATGTCTGGCGCCGGTCGAAGCATGCGTCGGCCTTTTCGATGTGCTGGAAGTGTTCCAGTGCGTCAAGCATGATCCGGCGCACCTGCACTCGGTGCGCCTCGACACAGCTGTCCACTGCCCGCAGGCTCGCCGAGACATACTCTTGCATAAAGCCCTCAGCGCCATGATCCGACTTTGTCGAACCCAGCAACATGCAGCGGCGCTCACTGTGCAAGGGCGGCAACGAGCCGGCCGCGTGAACCAACGAGGCACAGTGCCGTTTGCCTCGGTTGACCTTGACTTTGGGCCTGAGCTCTTGCTTGGAACGCCTTAAGCGTTCCAGGACCATGAGCCTGTGAGCCAGACAGCTGAGGTCATTAATGTTGACCCAGGATTAATAAACCCGTCCAGGGAGGTGTTCCCTCCAAAAGTAATGAATCCCCACTAAAAGGGGACACCCCCCCATTAATCAACCAGGGGTTCTGCTTAGATCCGGGGTCAACAGTAGCAATGTGACCATGCAACCGGCAAGCTGCACCGGAAAATCACGGCCAAACCTGAGGGCGCGGCCGCACTGAAGAGCAGCGCAGCAGAGAGCCGCGGCACCGCAGAGTGCCAGCCCTCTGCGTGGTGACTTCCACGGGGTGGGTCTGTCTCTAGTCACCATGTAGCCGCAACCCGATGCCACCGCTTCCTATCCCGCATCCCGCATCCATCCCACATACCCTGCCGCATCAAGAAGAAACCGCACAAATCGCAAAGGGATACGATTTAAGCATGGGCTGATCCTTCGGCTTCACAGCTGCTCTCGATGCACCACGTCTTGTTCCTCGAACGCATGGGCTGTACAACTTTCCACGCCGCATCTTGCAGCGCTGGGGGATGGAACACTCAAGTTCGAGGGCCCCAGGCCATCCTCGACGGGAAAGGCTGCAGGTTTCAGCGCCTTTCCAATTCAACTCGTGGGAACTAGAGGCAAAATGCTGCCAGGAAAATCAGCTGCTACTTGCCGCTGCCCCTCGAAGGAAACGAAACCAAAAGCGATTGGCTGCCCCTCTTGAGAGGTGGCCATGCAGGTCTGGCTGGGGTCTCGGCACTTTTCTGGGTGAATTATGATATTTCATCAACCTGAAATCAGGTGGTTTCGGGGGGGAATAGTCTATTCCCCACATAAACCACTATTAACGTGGTGAATTCGGTCGTGTGAGGTCGTTATAATTCACCCAGACTTTTGGGCTTATTCCAGCGGCTCGTGGTGTGGATGATCCACGCTCAGCAGAAGTATCTGGAACTCCTCCATTTGGAGCAGCTGGCTCTTTCCCTAAGCACCCAAACACTGGAAAGCAACACCTTCGACACTCGGGCATGTCAAAGAAAGGTGTGTATATATATATATATATGGATATATATATATATATATATGTGTGTGTGTGTGTATGTTGTTAAAAAAATGGACCCTGTCCGATGCGACCAAAGGGTGAGAGGCAAAGCAGTGCTGCAACCTCAAAGAAGCTTGGGTTCCCAAAGCATACCTCTTCGGCCATCAGCCAAGCAGCACTTCTTCTTTCATCGACACGTGCCCAACAAATCGGCTCAATTCATCCGCCAACATTGCAATGACCAACATGCGCAAGCCCGACAAAAAGGAACCAACAAGGCAGCATAGAGGACACTGCTCACATGCTCTGCGTCACCATTGCCGCCAGAGCAGCAAACTCCACCATCTTCGCTGGCCAATTGCCCGTCTGCAGCCTCTTGCAGGCCTGCGCACGCTGAATCACCCGACCAGTCGGGGCGCAAAGCGACGCAAGTCGCGGGCATGCCAAACTTCAATGCGCGAGCGTCAAGGTGGCGGAGTTGGCGATCTGCAAGCCCATGCCATTGAACCCTGTCACGGACACATACAGAGAGAGACACACACACACACACACACCCACCCACCCACCCAGCCAGCCAGCCACCCACCCAGCCACCCACCCAGCCACCCACCCAGCCACCCAGCCACCCAGCCACCCAGCCACCGAGCCACCCAGCCACCCAGCCACCCAGCCACCCAGCCACCCAGCCACCCAGCCACCCAGCCACCCAGCCACCCAGCCACCCAGCCACCCAGCCACCCAGCCACCCAGCAACCCACCCACCCACCCATATGGTGGGCATCGCCCAGTTGACTGCTTCCAGCATCCAGCGCGGGACGCGAAAGACGTACAAACCATCCCCCGCCTTTTCCACGACCTGGCAGCCCTGCAGCAGCTTCCGCCGCAGCGCATCTGGCTCCGTCACCAGGCCCAGGCGCCATTTTGTCTGGTCCTCGTGGAAGGCGTAGACCTCGCGATGCCAAGGCTTTGGATATCTTGGGCCCACGGACGCGCCGAAAACGCGCGCGAACGCAGGAGGCCACTTGGGTTCTTCCCTCAAAACTGGGGAGCCCTGTTCGGACAGGTTTCGAAGGGAAGCCGAAAGAGTCCCTAACTCGGGAAATTTCACGCACTTCCAGAAAGGCTACTTGCTGCCTTCCAAGCCTTGAAGGTTGCTCCTGCAAGCCAGGGGCGCTGTGGAAGAGCTTAGGGCAAGCCCCCTCTAACAGGTGGCAACGCATGCCTCCCAGCAATGTGTCGTGAGAAAAGTTGTGCATGTGGCAAGCCGCCGGACAATCTGGAGCAAGGCCAGTTTTCAAAAACCAAGAAACCAAAGCCAAAAGGCAAACGTTAAGGGCAAATGTCCGACATTTCTCAACAAAAGACCGGTTTCTGGACAAGTGCATCTCCGTTCAGCCCACGCACTGACATCCACGCATCACTGGGGCTGCCACCACCTGCCAAACTTTGCAGAAGGGCTCGAAGTTGTAAGCGCTGTTCATGATGCAGGAATAGTCAGTCACCTTCCTATCCAGCATCACCTCCTTCTGATTGATCGAGTTAGCATCCTGCACGGAGCCCGCCAGACACCCCCTGGCAAAGTATTGCAATTCACTAACCTGAAGCCTGAGTCGCTTCATCACGGGCGAGCCCCTTGGACCGTCAGGTGAGGTCGCATATGGGACTCATGCTGGGGAAGTACTGTGGATGGACGAAGCCCTGCACCACAAAAGAAACCCTGGAATAATGATTGCCCAGTAATTCCCAACAAACAATGGTTTCAAAGTGGTGCAGGATTTCGTCCATCCACAGTAGTTTCGCCAGATTGCCAGCTGACATTGGGATTCTTCACATTTTTTTGGCCAATCTCAAGATCCAAACAAAAGCTCAAGCAAAGCCCGAGAGACAAACGAAGCAACAGCACCTCCCCTAGCTCCTGCGTGGCCTTGTCCACGCGCTCCTGCAGACTCTCTGCAGCTTCGCGCGCCGTGGAAAGCGAGCCGATGTCCCAATACTGGGGTTGGCTCCGGAAGAGCCTTGGAGCCAAAGCGGTTCATCATGGGGGCTGGGGGGGAGGGAGGGGAGGGGGAGGGAGCCCACATAAGCCTTTACTAAGCCCTTAATAACGCCTTGTTTAGGAAATATTTCTCCCCTCCCCCCCCAACCCCCACCCCCAGCCCCATGACTTCATCGAACAGAACCATGTTGCAAGATTGGATATGAAATTCACCTGGCTCTGCCTGGTGAAACGGAAGTCGCTGGGCCTGGGTCTCACAGCGAAAGCATGTGCGCAGCGCCCAAAACCAACTGACTCTCGGTTCTGCCAACATGGCCATATTGGTTTTATACATCTCTCTCTCTCTCTCTCACTCTCTGGCATTGGCGGTCCATCCGCCCACAAAGGTTTGTATAGGCATTGCTTAAAACTCCATTCAACCGGGCAGTAGAACCACTTACTTAAATGGCCAATAAGGGTTTCAGGCACTGATTCCTGGCGAACATTCACCGCCTTCACCCAACATTTTTGGGATCAAGCATGTTACGGCCCACTGGACGGCCCCGTCCTCCCAACCCACACCGCGCAGCTTTACCGTGCTCTCGATCTCCTCAATCAGCTCTTGGAGGTCGTCTTGCTGTTTCAGCAGCTCTCTCACAAATTCGGCCCTGGGTGGAGTGCCGCTAGTCGAGTGAGCCGTGACCGCCGTGACTACCCCTGTTTGGGCTTCTGTGCTTTGGGTGCTGCTTGTGACGTTTGTGCTGGCTGTGTGCGTGCAGTGCTTTCCCACCTTTCGACTATGCCTAAGCGAACGCAATGGTTTGGGGCAAGGATTTTCGCCGGGCTGAGCTTGCGCGCATAGGAAGTCCTCGCTGGGGCACAACCAGGAAGTGCAAAGCGACCTTCGCGCCTTGTAGCCAACTCAGCCAAGGCACTCGTATTCAGACAAGGCAGTCCTTTTCCTCGGAGTGGCACACACAGATACATACATACATGCATGTATACATACATTACATTACGTTACGTTACATTACATTACATTACATTGCCTTACATTACATGACATTACATTACATTACATTACATACATACATACACATTACATTACATCACATTACGTTCCGTTACGTTGCGCAACGCTACGCTACGTTAGATTACATTCCATTACATTCCATTACATACATTACATACATTACATACATTACATACATTACATACATTACATACATTACATACATTACATACATTACATACATAACATACATTCCGTACAGTACATACATACACTACACACGCTACATTCATACGTACGTACCTACGTGCGTACGTACAGACATACAAACCAACATACATACATAGATACATACATACACACATACATACACACATACATACATACATACATTCATGACATACATGACACACATGACCTACATGCACGCATTCTTACATATATACCGTATATTACATTTCACTACATACATTACAGTACAGTACATTACAATACATTACATCACATTACATTACAATACATACATACATGCAGACATACACATTACATTACGTTACGTTACGTTCCGTTACGTTGTGTCACGTTACGTTACGCTACGTTACATTACATTACATTGCGTTCCATTACATACATTACATACGTACACATTGCATACAGTACATACATTACATACACCACATACACTGCATACATACAAGCAAACAAACAAACATACATACATGCATACATGAAAGCACGACATACATGACATACATGCCATACATGCATTCATACTTACATACATACACTATATTACACTTCATTACATTACGTGACGTTACAGTACAATACCTCATTCCGTACAGACATACCTACATTACACTACATTCTGTTACGTTACATTACATTGTGGTAGATTACACTGCATAAATACATTACATTACATTACACTAATACATACATACACTACATACATACATACATACATACATACATACGTACATGCCTGCATGCGTACTACATTACATTACATTGCATTGCTCTGCATTGCATTCCATTGCCACACATACACCCACATACATACATACATATACATACATACACGCAAAAATACATACATGCATGCAAACAACATACACACATAAAATACATGACATTATTTTTTCTGTCTCCGCACGTCGACGAGGGCGGCTGTGGCTGTATGCAGCGCCGGGGGCGGGCGCCTAGCCACGCAACGCAACACCACTCGGGCCCAGCGGGCCATCGCGCGGCAGCA